GCATCTAGTATCTGGTACGAAACTTAACTTAGTCTTCTCTAAATTCTCGATATTTGTTATTTATTGTTACAAATACGTGATATTTTGATGTTACAAATGTTACAGGAGTTGTGTAATATTATGTAATATTATGTACAGTGGCCGAACGAAAGTGTTCGTACACTCGATGAGAAATTGATATTTTAAACTGTTTAAACATAACTTCCTGAAAGAGGGTCGTACAACAACCCAGTTGGCTTGATTAGCTTCTACTTGAAAAATTTTCTTCGTGATTAAACTCTTCTTACTGATTCTTTAAAACTTCCTGGACGATTCTTTTGTTTTGTTTTTTTACCATTTTATTGAATTTAGAGTGTTTTTAGGCGTTTAACGAGGAAAATATTATGCCGTTTTAAGGAGTAAATTAGGTTTATTTCTGGAACGGAAATACAATGAATCAGCGATCTTCACTGAGGTACTTGTCGGTTACTTCAGATAAAAATGTTTGAGCAATTATGTGATTATTTCGGCAAGTACGTTTTACTGTAGTATCAGATAATACCAATCAATTTGATTATGCTTGTGACAATAACTATTATTAAAATTATGAAGTACCTGAATATCTATAGCCGCTTATTCTCCGTTTAGAAACGATTCCTAGAAAATTGTGACAAATCCAATATTATTCCACGATCACTCGGCTATTAAAATTATCTATCATTCTCGACTACCCACTTCAAGCCTGCAATTCATTTCATGCAACATTCTACGCGCATCTTGGCGTAATTATTTTCTCCCTTTTTAAAACTCGCATGAAAGTACGGTACACCGCAGAAAGAGGGAGAAGGAATCTAAATTTCTAAAGAGATACTCTGCGTTGTCTTTCTAGGCTCGCGATATAGTAGAACGAACACGTGTGTACTATTTTCAGAGCACGATTCACGCAATTCTCACATAGAGATAACAATTGCAAAGCAATCTTATTTGCACGGACCGTCTCTTACGTGTGCCGTTGTCGGGGGGAAGATAAATAATATCTTTGATCGAGAAATGTATATTTCAAAGGAGTATCTTTTGCTTTTTGGATAAAATAACAACGATGTAATTATAATTTTGTGATTTTTAGTGTTTTATTTCGAAATCTGTTAATTTTATTTGTTTTCCTCGACATTTTCATCGTAAAAGAATGATATTTAATTTGCTCGAGAAAGACTGTGCAAGTTCAAAAGCATCAGAACAGTTATTTATTAATAATTTTGGCTGAATATTTTTAAATTATCCAGAGTGATTTTATTCTTTCATAGTTACGTCAAATTTTTGGTCAAATATAAATATCGATGAAAGTATCTGGATATTTCTCTGACGGACCAAAAACTATAAGGTCAGAATTGATTTAGTTAGTTCTGCAAAAAATTATTTATAATATTTACATTTAAAGTGCAATATCGTATCAGATTTTGGATGTGAAAATTGTTAACATATTAATTTTATTTTGATAAAAATCTGACTACTCTTTTATCCGCTAATAATAATTCATGAACCGTTATTTATGTCGGTGTAATTAAAACACTTTTTGCAATTAGCATCGTCGAAGGCGAACGAAAGTGCAATTCTTTGCTGCCATGAACGCGCAACTAATTCTAGATGTGTACGGAATAATATACCGTAGAAACTATTCCTGGAACGGCAAATAAAGATATCCAACAGCAGCGTAACCGTGCATGCTTTTCAATGAGAAACGGTGAACTTATTAATTACGAATAAAACGTTTAGAGATTCGTTGATAACGATGAAGATAAATGGAATCGTGTAAAAGATGGATTGATGTTATTTAACATCGTTGAGAGCTAAGCAGTGAAATAATATCCTGAAAGTTATTTAAATAAATTAATATTATTGCGAGTGAAGCAAGGATGTTGAAAGTTAAAAATTCCCTCATGTTTGACATAAAGATGTAACTGATTGAGGAATGTTTGACTAAATTATTTAATTCTGGGATTGGTATTTGATTTTATTTGATACCTTGTACAGTTAGAGATGATAAAAAATATGTTAGTATATATTTTCATGATGTATTAATAACTGTGATAATCTCAGAATATTAACAAACTTTAAGACAGAAATTAAAAGTATCAAGTAGAGATATTAAAAAAAAAAAAAAAACAAACATCCTAAAAATAAAGAATATTTAGATTAATATAATCAGTACTAATACTATAGTAATACAATATATTTATGATATAATATTAATAATATCTGCAATATAAACCAAGCATTCTTTTGTAATTAAATTTTTTTGGAACCAAAGTTACGTCTCTATATCTATAACTTTATATATTAATTATCTATATATATATTTTTTATATATTCCTTTCCTACATTTTATCGGCGAAAAGCATCAAATATTTGTACGTCAAAGTAATGGAGTACGACATTTTGTGTCTGTAAGATTTGTATTTGTCGCACGACGAATGTTCACACGTCAGAGCAATTTATTCACAATCGTTATTTAAGAAAATTTAAAATTGATCGAGATTGCGCAATAATCGTACGTTTGCCGATTCCAATGGTAAAGCAACGTGTCAAGTCACGAGGTTTTTTTTTTTTACAGAGCAACGACAATCCGAGAATGAATAAAACATAATCGCTCGCATGATTTCATCGTGTCGATCGAGCAAACAGACTTTTATAGCGTATCGCTGATTGAAATTACATAATCGAGGTTGCCGGGCGCTGCAAGTGAAACACGGTGATAAGAATTTCCATCGAATTTCCACGATTTTCTTCAAGCTCTTAGAGCAAAGATGATTTTTTTACTTTTCTCCTGTTTGATAGATACAGTTTTTGGAATTAAAATTAGTAGAACATGTACTGTCTCATTTTCTCACAGTTCTGACAACGACAGTGTAATTTAATTTATTATATAGATATTAGTTGAATTACAACAATTTAATTATTAGTATAAACTCGAGGGACACGAATCGTCCCAAGATAATTTTTAGAATAACTGCCAGACAGTTATAATTTCTTTCGTCTTAAAAGTTACATTTTATTCTTTTTTTTTTTAAATGCAAATTAATGAATATTATAGTTTATATTTTATTGTATCGTTATATTCATTGTTCGAAGAAATATCTGTCTTGAAGAGATCAAGTAATTCATGCGAAAATTATCTATAGTATGAACTAACGAAAATATCACTAGCAAATGTAAATTCTTCGTACTCTGAGAATCCTTCAATGATAATGAAGCGTGTACTTCTATTTTTCGAAAATAAATTTTTCTCAAGATTAGAGACGAGATAAGAAACAAATAAGCATGGTCACGTTTTAAAATAGAATTGCTACAAAACTGAAATTTGATTTTCGTAAACAGGATGCTGGTGTTAATAGGGAAGACCTAAACCAACATCTTTAATTTTTTTTCTTTTTAATTCGATGTCCAAGCAAACTGGACGTAATGAATGACTTGCGAACAGTTCCTAAATCAATATTCCTTCTCTCATTGTGTATCACAATTTCGCTTTCAGCCTACATGCAACAGTTTGTAATCGACTCGTAAAATTACGGCGAGTTACACCTTCAAATTTTGTTCGATAATTTATTACGTAATCAATCTTCTTCTAGTCATTACAGGTTTTTTTCTTCATTTATGTGAAAATGTCAAGGCTTTTAAAAAAATTTCAATATATGTATATATACGTATTCAAACAGAAAGAATTTTGGTACTGTGTGCAAGTATATTGATTTACAAATTAGAATCTTAAATTAATGCGCGATGTTTTCTCATGTATGTCACAAGAAATTACAAGGAAAATACGAGACGAGGTGTTTTTATCGAAAGCACCGAAATTTATCACACGATATTTATCACAGCTAAAAAATTATTTTCGATCGTTGCATCGTAAATAAAAAAAGAAGCTCTTTCATACTATTTGTATAATTATTCAGCAGCGTGTCGAATTTTCAACAGAGAATAATACAAATGGAACATGAAAAAAAAAGCCGTGGCTTATCATGTTTTCGCTTCATAAAATTGCAAGAAATACGTATCTTTATCAAAAGTGGGAACTTTTTATCAGATACGGCCACGTTATTACACTGAAAAATTATCTTTGCTCGTTACATCAGAGACTTTGCAACGAGTTTATCGCGATCGGACGGAAGGAAAGCAACGTACGATCGGTATTGTCAAGTGCACGTACCGCTTACATATTTTCAGACCATGTATCATGAACAAAGCCTCTCATTGCCTTACGTTCTGAGTGCATGTGGGTGTTGGTTGGCGATTACATCACACGAATGATGTCACACGTGCGAAATATGCACCAATGGCGTACCATCGCCGGCCACAAACGAATGAATAAAATCGTTCGTCCCGTTCTTCGTATCCGCGAATCGCTCCTTCCTGATACCGTAACTCGTAATTGAAACAATTTGCCGTTGGTTAGGTTGTTGATACCGATTGACTGAATATATATATATAGTAAAGTATAGTATATATAGTAAGACTACAGTAAAGTACAGTATATATGGTAAGAATATAGCAAAGTACAGTATATATGGTAAGAATATAGTAAAGTACAGGATATATGGTAAGAATATAGTAAAGTGCAGTATGTATGGTAAGATTATAGTAAAGTACAGTATATATGGTAAGATTATGGTAAAGTACAGTATGTATGGTAAGATTATAGTAAAGTACAGTATATATGGTAAGAATATAGTAAAGTGTAGTATATATAGTAAGAATACAGTATATAGTATAGTATAGAATATAATAAAAGTAAAAATATGCACTTACGAGTCCGAGTCAAGATCGACATCTGAGTTTTGTTCCATGGATTTCGAATACTACTCGCTACACTTATAAATATTACTTATTCACTTGCAATATATTCGTTTATAAAAAGAAACAAAAAAAAAAAAAAAAGAAAAGAAAGGATTTTCCAGTATCTTTATATAAAATTTGCGGCTCATGTCCGTGATTAATCAACGAATAATGTTATTATTCTGTTTCAGGAACGCCCTTTCGAAGGGTAAGATAGAAGTGAGTTGTTGGTCCGATTGACAAAATGACGACCGACATCTCGGTGGTACGCGGTGGTTGGGACCCCACGCTACAACAAGAGATTGTCGATGAGTACGAATACGACGGAGGAAACTCGAGTTCGAGACTTTTCGAACGTTCACGGATCAAAGCTTTGGCTGGTACGGTCTTCATTTCCCTTTACTTTTCCCCTTTCCCCTTCTTTTTCGCTTCTTCGTGGCTCCGTTCATCTGATTGAATATTTCATCAATGGATGACTTATTTCAAGGCAGGCGATACAATTGTGAGAAAGAGCAAACGTTTGGAAAATTCTTTGGGCAATCGGTTTCTTTTCGTTGAGGATGAACGTTTAAAAGCATGCACTCAACTTCAGTGCTCGAGGTTTGCAAAAGAGAATGAACTGAGAAATAATGTAATTCGTCGTTTTTTATTTTTGAAATAAATCTTCAGTTCTTTTGCTAATTGCAGTTTTAATTGAGTTCTACTCTTGTCAAATGATTCCAAACTTTTAGATAATAGTTGGTGTTAGATGAAACGTTATTTCATAATTGATGATATCTTTTCTAGCAAATTACAAAAACACCAGGTTTAAAATACACCAAATAATGATCGTAGTATTTTTATAGTTATTGTTTAATTGAATGTAAGATTTTAATAGAGTAATTTCAGCAAAGAATTAAGTTAAAAAGAACAAATACGATTAAAAATTATAATTGATTTAGAGCAGATTTATTTTGAAATTCTTTGCATATAAATCTTACAAATAATCACATATTTTGCATATAGATCGTTAATGTTTTCACCCATTAAATTTTAAATGCCATTGAAAAGTACAGTTAATTTGCAGGCGATTTATTTTGAAATTCTAGCTATTTATATACGTTAGGTATATAAAATGCAATTTTGTAAATGACAGGTATTTTGTACATATAGATCGGCAACCACTTGCACGATGATATTTCGTTGACGAGTTGTTGGGATATTAAAACAGCAAAGAATTATTGCCACATCCTTTGATATAGATACCGGTTTGATAAGTGCACACTTTAAAGTCTATGTTCTTTGTAGAAAATGCTTAGTAGTAGCTGTTCGGTCAATCTAAAATCATCCAGCGAGCAGTTGAGTGCATTAAAAAAAAAAAAAAAAATGTCTAGAAAGAAAATATCGCGATTGATATCACGGGATAGATAGGCAGAATTTATTTGAAAATGAATTACGATAAAGTCGTGATCGACTTGCGAGGTAAATATAAGAAATTCGTTCAAAATCATATGGCAAATTTTAACAAATTCATTTTATTGAAAATTTACTGAATTGTCTATTTTTGTTTTTTCTTTGTATTAATCTAGCAATTAATAGTAAAAATTTTTTTAATAGGATTTACTTGTACGTGTAAATTTTATTTTATTTCAACCGCATGACTAAGAAATCCGGATTTGGTTTACATTTTCCTGTCCAGTCTTATAAAACTGTGCCTTAATTGTTTCATTTTGAATTTCTAAGATTTATTAAATTTTCTATTTTTATTTCGTTTCCTTTGCATTAATTTAGCGATCAACTGTATACTTGAAATTCCTTTGTGACACTTACGCAATTTCCTGTTTCTGTATTTCTTTAAAATTCAGGTGAACGTGAATTGGTACAAAAGAAGACTTTCCAAAAATGGGTGAATTCCCATTTAGTTCGGTGTTCCTGCCGAATCGGCGATCTGTACGTCGACCTTCGAGACGGAAAGATGCTTATCAAGCTTCTCGAGATTCTCTCCGGAGAACGTTTACCACGACCTACAAAAGGGAAAATGCGAATCCATTGTCTGGAGAACGTCGATAAAGCGCTGCAATTCCTTCGCGAGCAACGGGTGCACTTGGAGAACATGGGATCGCACGACATTGTCGATGGGAACCCTCGTTTGAGCCTGGGCCTTATATGGACCATCATCCTGCGGTTCCAAATACAAGACATCACCATCGAGGAAACCGACAATCAAGAAACGAAATCAGCGAAAGACGCTCTGCTCCTCTGGTGTCAAATGAAAACCGCTGGCTATCACAACGTAAACGTGCGAAATTTCACCACATCTTGGCGCGATGGATTGGCCTTTAACGCCATCATCCACAAACACCGTCCAGATTTGATACAGTTCGAGAAACTCTCCAAGTCTAACGCTATTTACAATTTAAATAATGCATTTAACGTGGCAGAGGACAAGCTTGGTCTCACGAAGCTTCTAGACGCTGAGGATATATTCGTCGATCATCCTGATGAGAAATCAATCATTACTTACGTAGTTACATATTACCATTACTTCTCCAAGATGAAGCAGGAGACCGTGCAAGGTAAACGAATAGGCAAAGTAGTTGGCATTGCCATGGAGAACGACCGTATGATTCACGAGTACGAAAGTCTGACTAGCGACTTACTAAGATGGATAGAAGGCACCATAAAAGCTTTGGGTGATCGTCGGTTTGCTAACTCGTTGGTAGGAGTCCAGTCTCAGCTCTCCCAATTCTCTAACTATCGTACCGTAGAGAAACCCCCGAAGTTTGTCGAGAAGGGCAATTTGGAAGTGTTGTTGTTTACTTTGCAATCGAAGATGCGAGCCAATAATCAAAAACCGTACACGCCGAAGGAGGGTAAGATGATCTCGGATATTAACAAGGCGTGGGAGAGATTGGAAAAAGCGGAGCACGAGCGTGAATTGGCTCTCCGTGAAGAATTGATTCGTCAGGAGAAACTGGAGCAGCTGGCAGCGAGATTCAATCGAAAGGCTAGCATGAGGGAAACCTGGTTGTCCGAGAATCAACGTTTGGTTTCTCAGGACAACTTCGGTTTCGATCTAGCCGCCGTGGAAGCCGCGGCCAAGAAACACGAGGCCATCGAGACAGACATTTTCGCCTACGAAGAACGAGTCCAAGCTGTCATGGCTGTTTCACAGGAATTAGAAGCTGAAAACTACCACGATATCGAACGTATTAATGCCCGCAAAGACAACGTTCTTAGATTGTGGAATTATCTATTGGAATTACTTCGTGCTAGAAGGATGAGATTAGAACTGTCTCTACAACTTCAACAGAACTTCCAGGAGATGCTGTATATCTTGGACAGTATGGAGGAGATAAAAATGCGCTTGTTGACCGACGATTATGGCAAACATTTGATGGGCGTTGAGGATTTATTGCAGAAGCATTCTTTGGTAGAAGCTGATATCAATGTCTTGGGTGAAAGAGTCAAAGCTGTTGTTCAGCAGAGTCAGAGATTCTTGGAACACGGAGAAGGTTACCGACCGTGTGATCCAACCACTATCGTTGAACGCGTACAACAGCTCGAGGATGCTTATGCCGAATTGGTACGGTTGGCTGTTGAACGTAGAGCCAGATTGGAGGAGTCGCGTAAACTGTGGCAGTTCTACTGGGACATGGCTGACGAGGAGAATTGGATAAAGGAGAAGGAACAGATTGTATCGACTGGGGACATTGGCCACGATTTGACAACTATAAACTTGCTATTGTCCAAGCATAAAGCATTGGAGAACGAGATTCAGTCTCACGAACCACAGCTGATGTCTGTGGCCGCTGTCGGAGACGAATTAGTTCGTCAGAAACACTTTGGTTCTGATAGGATTCAAGAAAGACTACAAGAAATTCTGGGAATGTGGAATCATCTCTTGGATCTGGCTGCTTTCAGAAGGAAGCGTTTAGAGGAGGCTGTAGACTATCATCAACTCTTTGCCGATGCAGATGACATTGATATTTGGATGCTGGACACTTTGCGACTCGTCTCGTCAGAAGACGTTGGCAGAGATGAAGCCAATGTCCAGTCGTTGCTGAAGAAACATAAAGACGTGACGGACGAGCTTAAAAACTATGCTGCTACTATCGACCAGCTTCATCAACAAGCATCCTCTCTTGGTGAACAGGATGCCAAATCGCCAGAAGTACTGGAGAGATTAGCATCCATAGATTCCAGATACAAGGAACTTATGGAACTCGCGAAGCTTCGCAAACAGCGATTGTTAGACGCATTATCGTTGTACAAGTTGTTCAGTGAATCAGACGGAGTGGAGCAATGGATCGGCGAGAAGAATCGGATGTTGGAGACTATGGTACCAGCCAAGGATATCGAAGACGTCGAGATTATGAAGCATAGATACAACGGCTTCGAGAAAGAGATGTATGCCAACGCTTCGCGAGTTGCTGTAGTCAATCAACTCGCAAGACAATTGTTACACGTTGAACATCCTAATTCCGAGCAGATCGTGGCACGCCAGAACGAATTGAACCAGAAATGGGCCGAGCTCCGTGAGAAAGCAGAGAATAAGCGTGAGGAATTGAACTCTGCTCACGGTGTGCAGACCTTCCACATCGAATGTCGCGAGACAGTATCCTGGATCGAGGATAAGAAACGTATTCTACAACAGACGGACAGTTTAGAGATGGATCTGACCGGAGTCATGACTTTGCAGCGTCGATTAAGCGGAATGGAGCGCGATTTGGCAGCCATTCAGGCGAAATTGGACGCGTTGGAGATGGAGGCTCAGAACATCCAACAACAGAACCTGGAAGATCCTGAGGTGATCAAGGGAAGAATCGATCAAATTCACACCATCTGGGAGCAGTTGACGCAGATGTTGAAGGAGCGCGACGCAAAATTGGAAGAGGCAGGTGATCTTCACAGATTCCTCAGAGATTTGGATCACTTCCAAGCTTGGTTGACCAAAACGCAAACTGACGTGGCCAGCGAAGATACTCCAACCACTTTGGCCGATGCTGAGAAACTCCTGACACAACACCAAAACATTAAGGAAGAAATTGATAATTATACCGATGACTACCAGAAGATGATGGAGTATGGTGAAAGATTAACCAGTGAAGCTGGCGATGGCGATACGCAGTACATGTTCCTCAGGGAGAGACTGAATGCCTTGAAGATGGGCTGGGAGGAGTTACACCAGATGTGGGTCAACAGGAAGATCTTACTGTCCAATTCTCTTAATCTGCAGATCTTCGATCGCGACGCTCGCCAGGCAGAAGTGCTTTTGTCCCAGCAAGAGCACATTCTGGCCAAGGATGAAACACCAGCGAATTTCGAGCAGGCGGAGCACATGATCAAGCGACACGAGGCGTTCATGACTACGATGGACGCGAACGACGAGAAGATCAACTCCGTGGTACAGTTTGCCGGACGACTTGTCGACGAGGGTCACTTCGCGGCAGACAAAGTCAAGAAGAAGGCAGAGAGCATCAACGAGCGTCGTCGTGTAAACCGAGAGAAGGCGAACCAATATATGGAGAAGCTCAAGGATCAGTTGCAGTTGCAGATGTTCTTACAAGACTGCGAGGAGCTGGGCGAGTGGGTTCAGGAGAAACATATCACCGCTCAAGATGAGACTTATAGAAGCGCCAAGACGGTGCATAGTAAATGGACAAGACATCAAGCGTTTGAGGCTGAAATCGCAAGTAACAAGGATCGTTTGCAGCAATTGCAACAGGCTGCTGAAGAATTGATTCAACAGAAGCCGGATCTGGCTGAGATCATTAAGCCTAAAGTGGCAGAATTGGCTGACCAATTCGAAGAACTTGAAACCACTACTCACGACAAAGGTGAACGCCTGTTCGACGCGAATCGTGAAGTCCTTATTCATCAGACTTGCGACGATATTGATTCTTGGATGAATGAACTGGAGAAACAGATTGAAAGCACGGATACTGGTTCTGATCTGGCGTCAGTGAATATCTTGATGCAGAAACAACAGATGATTGAAACACAGATGGCCGTGAAAGCGAGACAGGTTACGGAGTTGGACAAACAGGCTGAACACTTGCAGCGTACGGTGCCCGAAGACAAGATGGAAGAGATCAAATGCAAAAAGGAGAAGGTTGCACAGAGATTCGCTCAACTCAAAGCACCATTGATCGATCGTCAACGTCACTTAGAGAAGAAGAAGGAAGCCTTCCAATTCAGACGCGACGTGGAGGATGAGAAACTCTGGATCGCCGAGAAGATGCCTCAGGCAACCAGTACAGAGTATGGAAACTCGTTGTTCAATGTGCACATGCTAAAGAAGAAGAACCAGTCTCTGCGTACTGAAATCGACAACCACGAGCCCAGAATCAATTTGGTGTGCAACAACGGTCAGAAACTCATAAACGAAGGTCACGAGGACAGTTCTGAATTCCAGAAATTGATATCCGAGTTAACGGAGAAATGGAAGGAGTTGAAGCATGCTGTAGATGATAGGAACAAGCATCTCTTGCAAAACGAGAAAGCACAGCAGTACTTCTTCGACGCGACAGAAGCGGAATCTTGGATGAGTGAACAGGAACTGTACATGATGGTAGAAGATCGCGGCAAGGACGAAATTTCTGCCCAGAATTTGATGAAGAAGCACGAGTCTTTGGAACATGCTGTAGAAGATTATGCAGAGACTATTCGCCAGCTTGGAGAAACCGCCAGGCAGCTCATTAACGATCAACATCCTCTTGCTGACCAGATTGCCGTTAAACAATCACAAGTGGATAAATTGTACGCTGGCCTGAAAGATCTTGCTGGTGAACGTCGAGCTAAACTAGACGAAGCTCTTCAACTGTTTATGCTGAACAGAGAAGTGGATGACCTCGAGCAGTGGATTGCAGAGAGAGAACTGGTAGCTGGAAGCCATGAATTAGGTCAGGATTATGATCACGTGACGCTTCTTTGGGAAAGATTCAAGGAGTTTGCTCGCGACACCGAGGCGATAGGTTCAGAGAGAGTGGCCGCAGTGAACGAAATTGCAGATTCTCTAATAGCAACTGGCCATTCTGATGCTGCTACAATCGCAGAATGGAAAGATGGTTTGAACGAGGTATGGCAAGATCTATTAGAATTAATCGAAACTCGTACGCAGATGCTACAAGCTAGCCGAGAACTGCACAAGTTCTTCCACGATTGTAAAGACGTGCTTGGAAGAATCTTGGAGAAACAGAACGCCATGTCTGACGAGTTAGGTCGTGACGCTGGCTCGGTTTCAGCTCTCCAACGGAAACATGGCAACTTCATGCAGGATTTGTCCACGTTGCAGAGTCAGGTATCGCAGATACAAGAGGAATCTGCTAAGTTACAGGCCAGCTACGCTGGAGACAAGGCTAGAGAAATTACTAATCGTGAAGGAGAGGTAGTTGCTGCTTGGAATAACCTTCAGTCGCTTTGCGATGCTAGAAGAACTAAATTGGAGGATACCGGTGACCTGTTCCGATTCTTCAACATGGTTAGGACTCTTATGATTTGGATGGATGATGTAGTTCGCCAAATGAACACTTCGGAGAAACCTCGCGATGTTGCTGGAGTGGAATTGCTAATGAACAACCATCAAAGTTTGAAAGCTGAAATAGATGCCAGGGAGGACAATCTGATGGCGTGCATCAATCTGGGAAAGGATTTGTTAGCTAGGAACCATTATGCTAGCAGCCAGATCAAGGAAAAATTGGCAGCTTTAACTGATCACAGAAACGCGTTGCTTCATAGATGGGAGGAACGTTGGGAGAATCTACAACTCAGTGAGTATATGGATCTTGTTAAATACTTTGCTGCTAGATTATTTTTACACATTTATAGGCTGCACATAATATGCAGACATATATAAATTGTCCAGAATGAAGTATTAATCATAATAGTTAATACGTAAAGTAAATTTCTGCTCAGGTTTCATTCTTTTTTTAAGCAATGTCTGTAATGAATAATTATAATTTGTTTATTACGATAAAATTAATACCTGTGTGGTATTGCAGTTTTGGAGGTGTACCAGTTCGCAAGAGATGCGGCGGTTGCTGAAGCATGGTTGATCGCCCAAGAACCATATCTTATGAGTCAAGAACTTGGTGTAAGAGGCCTTAAGTTTATAGGCTTAATTTTTAACATGATTACTTTCATGGTTTTACCAATCGTAATTATTACAGCACACGATCGACGAAGTTGAGAACTTGATTAAGAAACACGAAGCATTTGAAAAATCGGCAGCTGCTCAGGAAGAAAGGTTCAGTGCCTTGCATCGACTCACTACGGTTAGTTAGTTCTTTCTTCTCTCTCTCTCTCTCTCTCTCTCTCTCTCTCTATATATATATATATATATATATATATATATATATATATATATATCTATCTCTATCTCTTAAAATCAGAGCTAGTTTACTAAATGAAAATATTTGACGTGTTACATAGTTTGAGTTGAAGGAAATGAAGAGGAGAGAACAGGAACGAGAAGAAGAGGAGAGACGCAAAAAGGAAGAGGCCGCTGCAGCCGAGGCAGCTCGATTAGCTAAAGCAACACCAGTGACTAGCCCAGACGAACCACCGAGCGAAAGGTAGCATTAATTATATTCTTTACTTCAAACTAGTTACTAGCATGTATAATACTTAGCCAGTAATGAAAGTATATTGCACTGGGTCTAAAATATGATTAAAAAAATAAAATAAAATAAAATAAAACAAAATATTATAATTGTAATAATATTAAAACATGTTTTAACAGAGCCGAAGCGGAAGGTGTACCAACTGGAGAACGTCCCGCTGGAGAAGATGAGTCACATGGTAAGATAATAACACGTATGCTGCATAATATCTTGAAACTCAGTTTGATAAGAGTGTCGTATACATTGCATTATAATGCTCACTTCGCATTAGAGAATACGAATAATAATTATTATTAAAAACAAAATAATTAAAATTCTTAAAAGGAAAAGCAAATTTTCTTTGGAAAATATCTCTGTCTATTGTCTTGCAAAAGCAACAATAATTCGGAATTGATAATCGTTAAGTGCTCGATTCGACTAAGGATGAACAGAAACGTTTATTTTTTTCTTTTCTTTTTTTATTATTCATTCTACTAATACATGTATCTTACAATTGTGCTTTCCACGTATCTTGTACACTTAACTCTTAGGCGACTGGTTTTACAAACTGGTTTGTTTGGATAAGCATGAAATTGCTAACAGCACGTTTATTTTTGCCTTTCTCTCTTTCCAACCATTCATTGACGTTTCCAACCCGCTCATCTCCGCTCCACATATTTCCAATGAATCCCGATTATTGATCCTTTCCTGAAACGCACCTTAAAATGCGGCACGGAATGCACAAACCACAGTGGCACATCGCAAGGCTTCTACACGTACACCACAGCCTCAAGATAAGCCCAAGGAAGGTGAGTGTCCTGATGAAACGAATATCGTCATTTTTGCACTCGAAGTTTTATTGTTTTTATTTCTAAATGATTATTTTGTTTTTTGTCTATTATATTTATATTATATGATTCAGCATCATATATCACATTTTGTTTGTGCCATTTTAATTACCATTTAACGCATTGTATGTCTGCTAATTTTTTTATTGTAACTTTCTGTAACATTTCTTGCACAATAACATTTTTACATCATTGGATTTTATTCATTGTAATTAATGAGTGCAAAGAATTAAAAATCTTTTTCAGAATATCATTTGTGTATTATGACGCAATATATCGTGTACTAATTTTATTATCGTTTCTTAATGGCAACACTCTATTAAATACCAGTGCCTTTTTTTATAAGAGACGATCGTGTCCTTCAAAAATATTTTAACTCTATGTGACTGGCTGGCTGTTCATTCCGCACTAGTAACTTTATCTCTTTCTGGACTGTAAACGAAGCTCTGGTATTTGATGATTGAATTGCATTTTATATATAGATCCTGCTATATCGATCCTCTAAGCTGGTGATGGAACATAAAATCAAATCATCTGGCAGCGTTTTACGGCAGATTTTTCTTCCTTTCTATCCAAAGAAATATTTACTCGAATTGTGGTAAAAAACAATGTGAACTTTTTAATCTTCTTAGCATAAAATTAATCTTCTAAAAGCATAAAATTAGCTTCTAAAATTCTTATTTGATTTTTACACAATTCAGGTTAAATAATGAATTTCACATGTTCTTTCAGCAGATTCGTAGGAAAATTACTACTGCCTCTCGCTATAATCACAGCTGCAAATGTTTACTTGCTTATTAACTTTTTTAGCAGGTGATGGAGTCATTCTACCTGAGACATACGAGCATTTATGTCGAAAAATTATCAAAAATCATTAAAGTGATATCAGAAAATTTTTTTAATTAAAACTGAACTTTTGCATGCGTTATATGATATATATTATATAATTATTAAATGTTTATTTTTTGATTCATATATAAATTAATGCTATAATTTTTCAAGTAAAAGTGGTGGGTACAAATGATATAAATTAAGTTCTTTTTTTTCTTAATTAATTGTATACGACAAAATTTAATCCTTGTTTGAAAGGTAAGCACACGCAGTGACTGTATCAATATTAGTGTTCAACTTTAATTCCAATTTTTAAGTACGCTTGTATGCATGTATATCTGACAGCTTTTGCAACAGCAGATGCTTTTAGTGCAGTGTGTCTAATTTTATTGTTAATTCATTGCAATCTAAAATTCTTCTCTCATCTGTATTTCAACTTCTGCTGCTTAAAAATTATTTATTGTATGTGTTCTTTGCTTACTCTAAAAAGTAATGTGATGAAGTGTTTAGTTTGTCGTTTTACATATTTTGCTTTCATAGAGAGAGTGATATTTTTACTCTCAGTGTACAATTCCAAAGTATAGCATGTTAAAATTGGTATGATGGTGTATAGTGCATGTTCAGAAACCTGCACGTCAGTCCATGCGAGGAGAAGCAACACCATCTGCCACTCCCTTGAAACCTCCAGGCCTATCTAGTCCAACAAGTAAGTTCATTTCAAGGATTACCATTTTTTTTTTATTTGTCATCCATGAAAAATACAAAACATATCATATTTAAAAATTATAATCCAAAATTCATCTTTGATCATCTAATAATATCAGCAAGAATTCTTTTCCACAATTTCATTAAATTTAGAAAAATATCTAGTGTAAAGGAAGCTCTCTTTTTCAGTAAAATTAAAATTAGGAAAGGTATCATATGAGTCGTATTAATAACTATTAGGTGGATATTTACGCATTTGTGGAAAGTTTGAAGATGCAAAAATATACAAAATCCATATAATACTCAAAATTGATATAAAAATAACAGTAAAAAGAACGTGACAAGTATGCTTTGTTGATTTTTCAATTTTGAAGTCACTTTGTGATTGAAGAGGAATATTGTAACATAAGTTAAAAGCAGAAATAATCAATTGGGTCCAAAAATACGGTTGATAATGTTTTACAGAAACCAAAAGTATAACTGTTAAGACAAATAATATTTCAATATTTTCAATTATATACAAGCTATTAATTATATTAGCTATTGATATTACAGTATTATTAATTTTTAAAATTATGAAAGAAGTCATATAAATAAGGTAATCAGACAAAGTAATTTTGATATAATAAAATTAATCAACAATATACCGAATTGAAAAATTGACTTATCATGTTCAAAGTGTAGTTGTCAGAACTGCATAAAATCCGAAGTATTATAAAATTTAGCCTGTCAAATAAATTTCTGCTGAAATCTTTTTAATTGTATTCATAAAAATATAAATTTGCATAAACATCTGCAATCTAATGATTATATATTAAAATAGTTTGGTCCGTTGTTTGTAATGTTTAGTCTCTCCCTTGGACCAGCAGGACAAGTTGTTCCAAATTCGTCGACGAATTTACACGCTTCTAAAATTCTTAGAGTTTCGTTGACAGAACGAGCCAGACATATCTCATTGATTGTGATATGTCGAATTAACTGATTTTTATCGATGATGAACAGTCCCTTCAGAGATACTCCTTCTTCTTCGTCGAGTATTCCATACATTCTCGATATACTCTGATTCTTATCAGAGAGAACGGGCATTCTCATTTCACCTAGACCACCTTGCTTCCGGGGTGTACTGATCCATGCTAAATGCGTGTACGGAGAGTCCGTAGAAATCGCAACTAACTCACAGCCTGTTTGTAATTTGAAGTAGCATTGATTAAAATGAAATTTTAATAATTTTGTGAATTTCTTGATATCATGTATAAGATAAAAGAAAATGAAAGAAAGTAAAAAATGAGTCATTTTTGAATACAGAATTATTATCTTAAATGTATAGATCATTTAATTCATTAAATATATTTATTTGTAATACATATATTTATAGTTTAATGAAATTGCTACATAAAATAAATAAAAAAGAGAAGATAAAATTAAAGAAAAGAGAATATGGGAGGAAAGGTGCACGTTCTTTTGAATATAAAAATGGAATTAATTTATTTCAAGTCCAGTTCTAATAAAATTAATTTGTTACAAATTATTATAAGCAAATGAAAGGAAAAGAATATCTATTAAATATAATTTACAACATGATAAAAGAAAAGAAAAGAACATAAAGGATGCGTAGTTATACCTAATTTATTGAATTCTTCAATACGATCATTGAACTGTATCATTTCTGTGGGGCAGATGAACGTGAAATCGTAGGGATAAAACAACATAATCAAGTATTTTCCCTTATAATCTTTCAGAGATATATCTTTCATGTTTAAATTTACTATTGCGGTGCCTGACCAGGCTGGTGCTGTAGTTGACAGCGCTGGTACCACGTGCACTTCCGGTTCACGCGGCTTTTGCGGTTGCTCGCTGCAACAGAAATCACTCTGTTCTATTTTGCTTCTAAGAAACGAATCGAAAGTCGTCGACATGATAGATTCAAATGATAATAATAATCGTATAAAATTGACTGTAAACTTGAATGTTGGCAAATATCGTCTCTGATAGCGAAAACAAAAGTTGAGAGACTTTCTCTATGGAAAATTTCAATGGCTCGCGATAAACAAATTTCAAAACTTGTCACCCTTGTGAAAAACGCGATGTTCCATAACAAAATCCCCACAGTGTTTTCAACCTTTGTCATGGGTGTTAAAAAAGAAAAAGTTGGTGAAGGAGACGAGTTATTTTTACAATACATTAACTATACTGAAATAGAAAAATTTCAAACTATATTTCATAGTAGATTATTAATTATAAATTAAAGGAAAATGTGATACGTCATGTTCTTTGATTCTTGTAGAAATTTTACAAATTTATATTTGTATTTCATATTTAATATATCATATTTATCATTTATATTTAATGTAGCATATTAGAACATCCTCATTTATCAACCAAGTAACATACAAATCATAAAATCCACAAAAATTAACTTATCATATTTTTCTCGTGTAAGCTTCAATTCATTACTCTGATTTTTCTTACTAGCAATAACTTTTAATTACATTTAATAAATTATCCAGCAGTCAGAGAAACTGGCAAAATTAAAAAATTATAGTATTTCGTAATTGAAGAGATTGATAATTTGAATGAACCTTGCTATAAATTCACAGTTAATTAATATTCATAGTAATAAACTTTTCATTATATTAAACCCTTCGATTGTGTTTTCTATAATTTTCGATTCTTCTTTTGATGATCTCAAGAAAAGATGAATTCAAAAGAGAATTGCATTTATCGAGATGTATGCAATCGTGAAGACTAAGTTTATGGTAGGGTAATTGTTATTGACTTGTAAAATTAGGATCATGAAAGTAATCTTTGAAAATCAACTTCAAAAAGAAATTTATTTTTCTCAAAAATAAACGTAGTGTCCTCACGATGCATGTATCCTAATACCATTTTGTATTTTGCTACGTCTCGCATGAGCATGTCGCATGAGCAGCAAAATGCATGCGAATTGAACATTTAACGTGTTCCTATCCTCTATACTCCTCTAACTACAATTCCTTATAATGCTAGGCTGTCGATGTGACTCGATGTAAGTAGTTAATAACGTCGCGTGTGTTGCGTGTGTCGTGTTAAAAGCTCCGAAAGGTGGAAGCGGTTCCGAGTCTGGTACTTTAAGACGTAAGGAACGTAGTCGCAGCAAGTCGCCGTTCAGGAGCTTCCGCTGGAGGAAGTCCGCCAAGTCGCCGAGTTTAGATCGAAGTGGCGTGAGTGATGATGAGCGCAGCATTTCCGGTAAGTAATTCTATTCAAACATCATCCACTGGAGTTCTTTTTGCTACCCGTTATGCCTACCTACTACGATAATAATTCTTTATTATTACGATAATAATGAAATCACTTGAAAAGGATCTAACGAAAGTTCAACGGCAGAAAATTTAATGGAATTAACATTTGATGAACAACAGTTGATAATCGATCGAGATATATATTAATAAATTGATGAATACTTTATTTAGGTTTCGATGCGAGTTTTTGAAAGGTAAACCTCCATGGTATCGAATAATTACTAAACGTTTTACCATTTTAGCTTCGTTGAGGATTACAGGAAGCGTTTCCTCCCTAATTTCCTGAATTATGTATGTGTGTCTCGAGTACGTGCACAAGGGATGTCGAATGAAACGTTAGGAATCTGGGCTATGGTAACATTAATAATGTATGCATCCTACTAATCATACGTGATCAGAATCATGTGTTTGCGGCTGATGCTGTACCATGAATGCGTGTACACGTTTGGATCGCTCAATTGCATTTACCAGCATCGTTTTATAACGTCCATCTGTTTAGGTTTTCCTACTCGGAACAGATTCCTTTCAGTGAATGTATAATTACGTTTGCAGCTGTTGTTACACGTTAGAAAGGAAGCTGGATGGTGTATAGATTGTTTTCTTTCTCTTTAAATCTTCGCATATCATTCGTTCTGCTAGTAGTTTCTCGTATCTCCGCTTGTTTATTAGTTTGAGCTAAAATTAAATTTGATTTTGCAGAACAACGAAGTCCCACCGACGATGAATTCGAGGGCGTGTTGCAACGAAAGCACGAATGGGAGAGCACAACGAAGAAGGCGTCGAATCGATCCTGGCACAAGGTCTACATGGTCGTTCGTGGACAGAGCTTGTTTGTATATACGGACCAAAAATCATACAAGGCAGCGCCTGATCAACCGTACAAGGGAGAGTCTCCTCTAGATCTCAGAGGAGCGACTATTACCGTGGCGAGCGATTATACTAAGAAGAAACATGTCTTCCGAGTAAAGTGAGTTTCGTTTCTACGATATACAGAAGAAAAATAATATGCCATATAAATTTAATACAAATAGATTGTATTTACATATTGTATAAATTTATAAATTTGTAAATTGTATTTCTCCAGATTGTTGTAACATAGATGTTTTTTATGATTTAATTGAATTTTGATTTAATGAAAAACACTATTCTTCATATGATATTTGTATTAGGTACATTAGTATATAACCAATGTTTTTTGCTCATTTTTTTCTATGATTATAAATGCGCAATTTAATATGGTTTTGGAAGATAATCGATTAATTTTCCATATCTCTCAGGTCACAAAGCGGATCAGACTTCCTATTCCAGGCTAAAGACGATGCTGAAATGAATGAGTGGGTTACTGTGTTGAACCAAGCGGCACAGGGTACATCAGGTGCGGGCACGTCCAGAGCGCATACTTTACCTGCGCCTACACAAGCCGAGACCAAGCGGCGTAGTTTCTTCACTCTCAAGAAAAAGTGAGTCTCTCGTTAGAAGTATCTGAGAAAAAGAGTTCGGCAAAAAGGGATGTTCGCGGTATGATATACGTAACGTCTACATATCATATACAAAGTAAAAAGAAAGATAAAAGAGAAAATACGGGGAAAATTAATGGAATTCGATAGGAAACGAAATATTATTAGCCAAACGCTTTGCTGTTCAAATCTTATTTTCTCTTCTTCAATCATCGTTCATCTTAAGTCGATTATAAATTCCATAAGAAAACTTCTCGTTACTTATATGTCTCACCTTCCATACAATTTTTTCTCCATGCTGATGATTGTCAAATCACTTTCTTTTATTTATTTATTATTTATTTATTACGATGCTGTGTCAACTGTTAACGCGAATCATTGTTAGTAAGCATTGTTAATCGCTCGTACTAGAGCATATTTACAGGGTGTGTATGTTTAATCATGGACTTTTTAATGTTTTCTCCTTGCTCTTGCATTAACCATTCAGTAATCTTGATTTTTTCGCTAGCTTGTCTTATCATCTGTATCCTTGTGAGAGCTAAGTAAAACTCTGGTTAAAAGTTCCGGTTTGAAAAGCGTGGTTCGAAGGTGTAGGTATTTAACAAATATTTTGCTTCCTTTTTCTTAATGTCATTAATCATCATTATACGAGTGGCAGGGTGATCACCTCGGACCGATGATAATTACTTGCGTTTGTTCGAAGGATTCGAGGTTTTCCCTCGTGTCATTTTTCATCTCACGGTATACGTTTAACGCTGGCAGACATTTTTCCATTTCATTCGATCACATTTTGCATTTATCATATTTTAGAAAAGCCAAAAAGTAGAAAGTGTGAAACCAATGAACTGTAAGAAAACAGTACACAATTGGAACAACATTTAGAGAGATTGCGGTGAGTCGCATCAACAATCATTAGATCATTTTTACCGTCGTACTGCTGCACGATTTTCATTGATCATAATTTACCAATTGTTTTTTTTTCTCTCTTCTTTTGGTACACTTTTTTTCTTTTTTTTTTTCTATTCCATGTATTAGCATATCTCGAAAAGTACAAGAGGAATGTTCTTCCAATTGTGAATGCGGAATGATATATATTATAATCGAGATTCTCTAGAAAGAGGAGATTCTGTATACATACAGTGCTTAACTGTGTTTCATATGCGCGCTTATAAAAGGTTCCTTTGATAACATTCAAGTCGCTAATTACAGTCATATCTCGTTATCCGTTATATATACATACTGTGTCTCATAACTATAAACTTTTCCAAAAATTTTCAATTCTTATATCCTGTGTTATATATTCTATAATCATAAAAAGAAACGGAGTGTCACAGAAAAGTAATTTATGTTCTTTTTTAAAAAGAAAATTAACTATAAGGTCAGCATAACAAAGTATTTTATTATAAAAAAATTGAATTCAGAATAGAATAAAATTGCATTCTAATTAATAAAAATCAAATTCTAATCACGCTCTGTCGCATTATATATTTTGTGTATCGTACCTATATAAAAGGTGAAATTGAAAATTTTCGGATGATTTTGTAGTTATAAAATGCAGTGTCTATTCTTCGAATGATAGCATTTGTTCATTTTGAGATAGGTGTAACAACAATTTGAAGTAAAGTAAAAATTTTAAAATGGGGGAAAGAGTTGTTAATTTTTACTTTACTTCTTGTAGACATTGAATAAAGAAATGGTATTCTAAATAAAATTAGCGAAACTATGCATAATTAAGTGTTAAAAGAATTTCTCGTGTTTCTTCATTAGTAAATTCTGAAATTATTATATTTGAAGGTTCTAACATTTTACGAAGTATATAATTTATTAAAATTGATAAATAATAAAATAATAAAATTGATAAATTTACTAAAATTGATAGTTGAACGTAAACGTATGTGTGAATAGAAGACTAAGTAAGTGATCGTACGCAATTTAAAAAGAGGAAAAATATCATATTTCGCCAAGAAAGTTTTAATCTCATAAAGTGTAGCATCAGCGGATCAACGAATTGCGATGGGTTATTGTCATCCCTAAGCAAGCAGCTGTACTTTAGCGACAAAACATTTCCAGACGTGAAAATTAAGTATATTAAATATACGACTCAAATTTTCACTCATTCGAAAAAGTATACAAGAGGAAAAGGAATATGAAACACAATCATTTTAATTGTGTCACCAAAATCAAGCTCAATTCACAGGCGCTTCTTATCCGCATTTTTCATTGCTTTTTCGTGAAACATTTATTTCTTTCGTTCGCTTTAGTATAATGTATTGTTATTATTATTATATATATGCGTAGACACACATGATTTATTGTATATCATTGTTGGATTATATTGTTGCCATCCTTTTGTCATTGCTTCATTATGTCATCATACATATATCATTTGTTCACGCTTTTTTGCTGATCGGAAAAAAAAAATACTTTCAGAGAAGTCATCCTGGTTTTCAGTAATATATACTGTTGCCTTCTACTGTTGGAGGTAAATTTTGACTTAACACGCGACGTACATAGACGTGTGCAGCTCCTAAATGACAGAGCTGATTCATGCATTTACTTTAATTGTTCAGATTTGTGTGTAGCATCCGTATTTGCCCGTGTCAGACCTTGAGCGATAGTATTATAGCATTCGTTTAGCAGCATTAAAAGATATTTTGAGACGTAGTACTATTGTTCCCACGTATACAGGGTAGTCTGTTTTAATCTGTCCATTTTATTATTTTAAAATTACGTTTATCATTAAGAAAAGCGTGAAAATTTAAAAAAAATGTATTTAAACACTAAATATTAAAAAAAAAAATAAAAAAATGGAGGGATAAAAAATGGACTGCACTATGTTTCCTTATGGGTATTCAACACATATTCTTGCTCAGTGTTGCGGACATTTAAATTTTAAAGAGGCTAGAGTGTTACGGTTTTTGTTTTACATCGTACATTTAAATTATTATTTACATTATTCAATAATATTCTAAATTTTGTGGATATATTCCCAGTTAAATTTGAAAGAAAGAAATATAGACTTGATCTCTTTTCAGTTCACATAAAAGACTTAAAAAATTATTTAAAAATTGCTTTATTAACCATTTTACGAATAATAAGAAGAAAAGTAAGATTAATTTAGCTCTACGCCTCATTAATTCATGAGAAATGAAATATTATTGATTTTTTTAAGAAACACACACACACACACACACACACATGCGACGTAATGTGCGTTAACACTTTTTAATTTAACGTTTGCTTTGTTTGCCAATTTTCAGCTAAACTGGAGCAGTGAAGTTCAGTATAAGCCGCTCAGCACAACACACACAGTTTAAAAGAAATGTTTCGTCGCTCTACGTGGTTAACAATAAATAAAAAGAAAGCAACAAGATTATAAGAATTAGGAGACATACACGCGGACATGGTGTTTGAAAAAAAAAGAAAGAAAATTGAAGGAAGACTCAACTTACTATAAGACCTGCGTTGGTTTTACAAAACACGCCTATCATCTTCGATAATTCGTCACGGAGAAAAAGAAAACTAATAGAAAATATTTAAGCAGCTGTCTGTATGTGTCTAAAACATTTCACTCGCGTATAGGCCATTTGAAGTCTCTAATTGCGTTTTTTTTAGTTTCTTCAAGGAATTTTCGGACACTTTGCAATATATCGCTAGTTGAGAAAGTGACTCACACATATATACACACACATTCGATAATGTCCCACGTTAGCGTGATCGAGTTACTTGAACATGGATATTGATTGTCAAAATTAATTGCCCATCTTTCTCGCATATTTGTATGGTAATACGATAGTCAAAACTGTTAATGGTAAACTCGATGGTATAAGTTGGATTTTGTAATTTAATATGTGGCGTATTTTGCGTTTGATATCGTTTTACAATGTCATCAAGACGATCCTTTATTTTTTTTTTAAATTTTTAAGCGATATATCATGTTGCTGCAAAGGCTTTATATATATTGTAAGTCAAATAAGAATTCAATTCTAAATTAATTCATACTGTTCAAGATAAACCAGAAGATCACATTTTGAAACGATGACTCGTAACGAATTGAATATCAGACGTGAAATGTGACTTGATAAAGTAATTTTTTTATTTTGAACAGTATGTGTTTGCTAACATTACTTCGGACGATTTTCTATGTTTCTACAAATCGCATGAATGCCAACTCGAGAAGCAATGCCTTATAAGATATACTCTCGTTTAATTGAAAACTATCTTCTAGCTCTTTTTATATTACATAGATTAAAATTACATAGCGGCTTAGAGAGAGCGTTAATGTTTCCATTTTAGAAGGAACTCTTATCGGAGCTTATGCAGTAACTTGATATGCATTGTTAATGCTGTCCTAAGAAGCAAAGAAGCGTTGTTTTTTTTAATTCACGATCTATCTTGTTTTATTTATTGTAAGCAGCTCAATCGATGCACGTGTTCATTTATAAGATCTATACACACGTATATATTTCTTGTCTCATCCAGCACTTCTTTTTTTAATTTCGCGTTTCTCCGCAAACAGTTCGTTTGCGTTTCGATGACTGCCATATATATATATATATTTTTAAGCGGCACACTAACTTGGGACATAATATATATAAATATATAAATAAATATAAATATTATATATAAATATAAATATAAATTAGCTTTTAAAAAATTGTTAAATATATGCTACGTCCTGAGGGAATACGCATTGGAGGATTATAAAAAAAAAAAAAAGAAAGAAAGAAAGAAAGAAAGAAATGGAACACACATTGTGTAATAATTTAAAGAGTTTCCTCTTATATACGATCCCAAAATATCACGAGATTCTACGGAATTAAAAAGAGAAAGAAAGAAAGAAGAGATAATATTTAATTGTTCTTTATAGACATTTCTGCGTGTGCGATGCAGTTTTTATCAAGCGGCTTTTATCAACGAGAAGGATCAAGAGTGATATCGATTCCATTTGAAGTGTCTTGCTTGATACCAACTGGCATCATGTTCACGTTGCAATTCACGCGATTGTTAACTTTCGTACTCTTTATTCTTTTTTTTTTGTCTTATTTTTTGATATTTAAAAATATTTATCATGTTCGTTTTTCTGTTTCGTATAATATAAGGACGGTTTAAGGTTGAAACTTAAGAATTATTTTTTCAGTTGAAACTTAAGAACCATGTTTTTAGTTGAAACTTAAGAACCATGTTTTCGATCATTTTTTTTCAGTAACGATTATTTAAGAACTATCCATTTTTATAAGAAGTTTGTTTTTTTTTTGTTCGTATATTGTCCAATTACAATGCGACTCGTTTCGATTGACTTGTTCCATTTATTCTTGGAATGCACTTTTTCTTAACATGATGTATGACATATTTTTCTCGATGAAATCTCTGAGTAGCACATGTTGGGGATACGTTTGTAAAACGTTTCATCTTTTTTACTATATATTGTACACGCTTCACTAATTTGTACATACGATCATGAGTAACGCAGTATACGCCTAGACATGAAGACAAAATACAATAATTAATGATCTTAATCAAAAGAAAGAAAAAAAAAAAAAACAATGAAATGGATGACACCGTTCGCTTTTTTCTAGTTTAATGCATGTGCATTTAGTGGATATTTTTTAAACTATTCAGAGTCGCATTGCTACACTACACACAACTTAATATTTCATAGCTATGTGTTTTATATATAAATATAAATATATATATAAATATAAATATGAGATCATGAAGGGCAGTAAATTATAAGAAATAAAAATGATTATAGAAAATATATGATAATTGTAAAACTATCCAATGATTATACTAATGCAAAACGATCCTAAGAATGATTCCATCCTCATCCGTGAATCCTAATTTTAAGATATAACGTATGCTTATAATTTTATGATTTTCATATATCATTTTACGTTTTACCTTACATTTTACGTTTACCTTTAGGCAGTAACAAGTAAATCTTAGTTAATTTTAATTTTAAAAATTTGTTGCTTTTTGGAAGATAAACTTTTTATGAAATATAATAATTATAAAATTATTAGCACAAGTAGAAATATACTAAAAATTTTATGACTTATAAAATAATTTTATATTAAAAAAATTACGTGTTGTATTTGGTAATCAAAACGGAAAAAAATTTTTTTAATCATACATTCTACTTCGATACATATACTGAGAACAGAGGGAGACCTTGATGGTGTCGCCAGGAAATGATAGCCATTATCTAATGTACTTTTATTATTACATCTGAGAGTCACCATTAAAAGTACTTACTCCCCCAACGGTGGCTTTCAATTTTATTATGAGCATTTTTTTCTATTCAGGAATATATTTACAATTATTTTACAATTTATATTTGAATAATATTATTTTGTATTTAATTAATTTTGTAAATATGAGTATCTTCTTAATTGTGTTTTAATTGTTTGGTAATTGCAATTATTTTGATATTGGTACAACAAACGTTATTGATATTTATTAATTTACAAAAATTGGATGCATTGATAGAAATTCTATCATTCTAAAAGTTACATTAGTAATATTTCCAATGATTTTTTAAAATTGGTTCTAATGCAATTTAAATCTGAGTGTGTTCCGAAACGCAATCAATAATCGCCACAAGATACGGCTACGTCTTCAATGCACGATATTTTTATTATTTCAATTTTCACTTATATATGAAATGGAATTATATAAAGTATAAAAACGTAAAATTGTGAAATATTTCTTCTTTTTAAAATATTAATTTTAATTTAATATTATTTATTATTATTTTATAGTAATATTTGAGATTATTTCATTTAACAATTAATACGTAAATAATGAATCACGCATGCGCATTAACTTTTACTAAATTATATATGCAGTTTCCTATCTTAATATATTTTATATAAACCACACATATTGTTATATATAGAATATATATACATGGTGTTTCACATAGTTTGATCAAACTATCGCTTTGAAATGGTAGAAGATAGAAAAAGATTTATTAGGAAAAATTAGAAGATTTTAAATGGTCTGTAACATTTTTTAAATTCTTTGTAAAAAAATATTACGACGTTTATATTGAAAATTGATTGATATAGATGATATTTAAACTTTAATTTTATAGAAATTTATTCAAGGAGTGACGAAGCGTAGTGTTTTTGCATTAATTTATTTTCTTTCCTCTCTTAAAATTAATACTAAATATTTAAAGTAGTCACTTTCAGTTACAAATAATTCAATGCTTCCCTTATATACAAATTGATTAATATATACGAAAATTTATGGTTCATTCAAACTATAATAATGATAATTTTAAACTTTGCAAAATTCCATTTTTGGAATAAATACATACAACAAATCATATGCATCATTTGAAACCATTTAATTTTTTCTTTAATAGAATTTTTTTTTCATTCAGAACTATAGCGGGACCCTATGTTATGAAACATCCTGTACATCTAGTTATATATATTTGTAATGGTGATTAAAGAAAGTCAGTCTGAGCAAGATGGCCGGCCGGATGACTTCGGCTCTCTATTATTCCGCGATTATTTTACATCTAATATTGTTAACAAGTTTTAATAACGGGCAAAGATTCGGTTTAAAAGCGAAAACACTTCATATTGCTGAGGACTATGAATCTTACAGTTATAGAAAACCTCTTGTCATAAATCGAGATGATTATTCGGATGTAAGAGAAGCATCAGCTAGTCGAATGCGCAGGGATGTTCCGCTGTTTCCAAATAACAACCCAAACATCACAACGAAGGTACGATATTTCATTTTAATATTTTACCATCGACAGGACTCTTTTGATAAAATCTGTGCAACGGCAATGCCATCGATTTGTTTTCCGCATAATTTACGTTGTTTTTCCTCTCTTATCGTTGCTCGTGTTTGTTATTCGCCGATAAGGTGCGATTTTACAATTTTACGCGGCAGTTAATAAGGCCGGTATATACAGTGCTTGCCTTTGTGCTTTCAACAGCGGAGAACGTAATTGCCGTATTATGTCCCTTCCGGACTAAATTTAATCAATCTTGACGAAACGGAGTAACGCGTCATAGTTGTTCTGTTATTGACATGCAGAGGTCAGTAACCGCTCTATTCGACTCCTTTATTTTCTACGATGACTTCTCATGTTTTTCCTTAATTTTCATTTTTCTATCTTCCCTTTAGCGAACGACCGATCCGTATTTCGAATGCATAATGCGCTCTATTGATTGTTATCGAATAACCGCAATCTTTTGTTCGTCTTAAGTTGTCAGCTGGACGGACTCTGCCTACTGACGATTTACTCCAATTGAAATGAATTACATGTTTAATGTTTATCGTATTGTCTGCTCATAAATTGCAAATAAGGTTACTCAGCGAAAAGAATCGCTAGTATCGTTCATATTTATCTAGGTCGAAATCGTAAAAATCATTATTGTTACAGTTGATGTTGTATCTTTTTTCTTTGTTATCCGTTTCATTTTATCTTATTCGATAATTTCTGAAGTAATTCGATAGAGGTGTACTTTGACTTCCTTTTCTTAAACTATTTATTTAGAACTTATTGGAAATAAAAATCAATGAAATATGTAAGGTAATAAATAAAATGAATTAATTCTTTTGTCTTTCAGTTTATCTAACAGTTTTATCTTTCTTCAAGTATGCGTATCTTTATTAATAAACATATACGTGTATGAAATATTCTGTTGATGCAGTAATGTATAACACTTACTCATAGGTAATACGAATCATTCCAGTGAATACAATTAAATCCAAAGTAAAATTATATTTTAAACTACTTGTGTGGATGACAACAAAGGAATATTACATATGAGGCAGTTAAGAGATAAATAAACTATGTAAATCAATTATTAGTACTAATAGCTAGAATTTTAATGCATATGAATTGTATTTTTTATTTTCTTACTATAAGCTTCATTAGCTAATTAACAGAACAATAATCATAATAAAATTGAATTTTTATTTTAAAATAAAGTTAAATAAATGTTTTGTCTTCAAAAACATAATATTTAAATTACAATAATGTGTAGAATATTCTAAATAACATCTACAGAATAAATATTAAATTAATAAACAAATATTTCCAATGATTTCTCACCAATTCCTTTCATTTTTTTTCACAAGTGTAATGTAATCATATTGCAACAATATTGTCCTTGAAGTTATTTGAGCCCAAGAGAAAAATAAAAATTTATCTTATAATTTTTGGAGCTTACAGTATAAGTTGATAATATATTCTGTATATATAATATATTTTATATGTATAATAAAATGTTATCATAAAATTCATAATAAATTAACAATATTTATAATTGTATATCACATTTTGTTAGATTATGCTACTTCATACTATGATTTATTATTAGATTCATTATATCACAATTTTTTTTGGTATATATTTTCACAGTAAGGAATATGTCATTTTCTTCCATGAATTGCAATTATTCACTGACTCATACACATTTGACCTCTAGACTTAAGGAAAAACTTTGTTGTATCGTATAAAATAATATATAAACAATTTAATCTACGTTATATGTGTATCTGTAGATAAATAAATGTTTTTCTTAAATTTCAGCTTATCCTTATCTATATTGTGACTGATTTTATCCCTGAAAACTTTATTTTTGAAATTTATATATTAATTGTTTTCTGTTTTTTTTCTCTATAGGTCAATGCTTTAAATGATTCTCATCAACAGCTGATAGTTCACTGGGTGGGAGAAAAGTCTAATGTGATAATATGTTTGGCAAGGGATAGTACATCAGTGATGAGGGGCAGAGTCCCTCTATCTACTAATCCTAGTGCTGTATACATAAGTTATGATTATGGTGATACGTTCGTCAATATAACTGAAAAATTTCGAATTGGAGATGATCAATATGCTACTCTGGACAAGTTCACTAATCATCCAAAATATAACAGATTCGTAAGTGCACATTTTATCAATACTGTGTCCAATTTTTTGTTTAAGTTCATTTCATTTTTAATTCTTCTATTATTCTGTTAATTTTATTTTATACTTTATTAATTGTATTTATAATTTAATTTCCTTCCAGTGTATCTTTGTGGATAGTACAAACAAGTTACTTTTCATCACACCAGATAATGGAAAAATGATAAATAGAGTGCGAGTATGGTTTCATCCTAGCGAAATATCATTTTACGAAATGGATGTTGATATTGTCCTTGCTTTGGACAAAGTCAATTCTGTACCCAATGTAAGTTCCCTTCCATTAAGAGTAATTTTCAATTCAGGAAAATAATTTTATATTGCTACACTTTCAGCTGTGGTTGTCAACGAATACAGGTTTCACATGGACAATGTTGCGTCCCTCCGTAAAAGCATTTTTTTGGTCATCTTCAGCTGCTTTGATAATTGAACGTGCGCATTCTGATGGAAGAAACACCGTTTATCAGATTGATTTACAGAATAATTTATTGAAAGACTCAGTGGCACGCTCGGAACCATTGACAGTAATTATCTCAGACGTGGAAGACTTTCAAATTAGAGGCGATTATAGATTTGCCACTTCAAAGAAAATGAAGGCACGTAATAAACTGAGTTTGTAGAAACTTTGTCCTGTACGTGACTAAAAGTAAATTATGATCGAGGAAAATTTTTCTTTTCACAGAATGGTACGGAGCATATGGATCTTTACGTGTCTTACAAAAATTTTAGTTTTGTCAAGGCAGAATTTAATACGGCTTTGCCAATTAAGGATTATTATGTCGTTGATGTTTCACACAATAGAGTTTTCGTTACGGCTTCTCACAGTGAGACGCAAGTAAATCTTTATGTATCAGAAATTATAGATCAGAAAATGGCTACATTTACGTTATCTCTCGAGGGAATCTTCACATTTTTCCCGAACAGTACTTGGAAAGACAGTTGGTTAAAGTAATTACTTTTAAATTTAACAAAATAGTATATGTAAATATACACTTGATAAGATATGTAAATTACAAATCTGTACATCTGGTTTTTCCAGTGACGTGGCAGACGAAGCATTTGCTGACTTGTACAAAGTCGAAGGTCTTCGCGGTATTTACATAGCATCACAAGTAAAAGGAACACCGAAATCAGGATCTATTGGACCCGAACATTTAGTTTCCTTGATAACGTTCGATCATGGCGCGACCTGGAATAATATAAAACCACCCACTGCTAATCATGAAGGTTTCTACGTTCATTGTACTAAAGATTGTTCGTTGCATTTAAGTCAACGTCTCAGTCAGTTGTATCCCGTGACAAGATCGGTATCTATTATGAGTTCGAAATCTGCTCCTGGTATTATAATGGCCACCGGAGTGATAGGACCGAATCTTAAAGGTCATCCTGCTCTGTATGTGTCGAGAGATGCTGGCCTTACTTGGAAACAGGTCCTCAAGGATTACTACTTCTTTAATATGGGAGATCATGGTGGTATTTTGGTAGCGGTTAAGTACTTCAAGTCACGTGGAGAAACCAGAGATATTTCATATTCCATCGATGAAGGGGAGACTTGGCAGTCGTACGAGTTTAATGAGAAAATGTTACGAGTGTATGGACTGATGACAGAACCGGGAGAAAATACTACAGTTTTCACGATGTTTGGTTCAGCTAGCGGTCAGCACCAATGGTTAATAATTAAGGTTGATTTGAGGAATGTGTTCGAAAGAGATTGTACCAAAGATGATTATAAATTTTGGTCACCAACAAGCGTTGATCAACCAATGGTGGCTTGTGTGTTAGGTCGAAAGGAGACTTATCAAAGAAGAGCAGCGAAAGCGAATTGTTACACAGGGATAGATTATGATCGGCCAATAAGAACGGAAATATGCGAATGCGATTTTAAGGACTACCAATGCGATTTTGGTTTTGTACGGGATCAAAATCACTGTATCAGAGATAAATCCATGACTTTCTACGACCCTTATGCTGTACCGACTACCTGCGAACCTGGTGCATTTTATAATCGAACGAAGGGTTATATCAAGATAAGCGATGATGAATGCGTAGGTGGTTTAGCGAGGAATTTCGAACCAGATGAAATTCCATGTCCTATAGAGGAAAAACCTGGATTCTTATTAGTGGCTCAACGCGAACACATTTCCCGGATTGATTTAGTGGACGAAAAATTGGTAACACTACCTATCCATGACTTAAAGAATGTCATAGCAATCGAGTTCGACATGAGGAACAATTGTCTGTACTGGGCGGATATTGTTAACGACACTATAGGTAGACAATGTTTCAAAGATGGAATGAGTTATCCCGAAATTCTTGTGGAAACCGACTTGAGTTCTATAGAAGGAATGGCGCTTGATTGGGTCTCTAATCTCTTGTATGTTGTTGATGGTGTTAAAATGAGAATACAGGTGATTAGGACAGACGTGTCTAACATGGGAAGGATGCGAAGGACTATCCTAGGGCCCAACAATCTACAAAAACCTAGAGGAATAGCGGTTCATCCAATGAACGGATATATGTTTTGGACTGATTGGGCTCCAGGAAATGCTTCGGTGTCGAGAGCCAATCTTGATGGAACTGAAGTGAAGAGGTTGTTTGTGGAGCCAACCGTCGAATGGCCAAATGGAATAACTATCGATCACATAGCGGAACGTATTTACTGGGTGGACGCCAGACAAGATTATATCGGGTCTAGCGACTTTGATGGGAAGAAATTCAAGACAGTGATCTCCAGAAGTGACAAAGTGTCACACCCTTTCGCTATAGCAGTATTCAAAGACAACATGTATTGGGACGATTGGAAACAGTCTATGATATTTGTTGCAGATAAGGATCATGGTTTTGGTATCACTACCATCATAGGTCACTTACCTGGTCTTATGGACCTTAAAGTATTTGCGCATAGTAGTCAGCATGGTACCAACGCTTGCGCCAATAGTACTTGCTCGCACATTTGTGTGGGAGCGCCTCGTGGCGGCCACGTTTGCCTCTGTCCTGACGGAATGGAAATGCTCGACGGCAAATGCATGTGCCCAGGAGGAACCGCCCCATTTGCCAATTCTACGTGCCCCAGAGTTGCCAGTACGTGTGCTCCAAATCAATTTGCTTGCGCCAATGATGTATGTATTCCAGCATCATGGCGGTGCGATCGAGACAATGACTGCGGTGACAATTCGGATGAGATCGGTTGCACACCACACACAACGTGTACGCCAAATTTCGAGTGTGATGATAACAGATGCATTTCGAAGCATTGGGTTTGTGATTTCGATCATGACTGTAGCGACGGCAAGGATGAGATGAACTGCAAGTATCCGCAATGTACAGAGTCGCAGTTCCGATGCGACAATGGTAGGTGTATATCCCACAGGTGGCGTTGCGACGACGAGAACGATTGCCGGGACGGTTCCGATGAGAGAAATTGTACCAGGAAGAAATTTCCTGGCACTTGCAGATCCGACGAGTTCTCTTGTAAGACAGATGGAACTTGTATACCGGCTAGTTGGAAATGCGATGGAGAGCCAGACTGCGAGGACAATTTTGACGAGAATGACTGTAGCAATATGGCATGCGAAAGCTGGCAGTTCACATGCAATTTGTCGAGCAGTAAATATCGTTGCATATACAATTCGTGGGTCTGCGACGGGGACAAAGATTGCGCCGATGGATCCGACGAGGCTAACTGTACTGCTACCGTACGTCCACCGTCATTGGCACCGAGTTTGCCTAATAGTCCTTGCAATAATTGGATGTTCATGTGCAACAACAAGAAGTGCGTGCCGTACTGGTGGAAATGCGACAGCGTGGACGACTGCGGAGACGATTCGGACGAAATGGGCTGTGGTAATGAGGAAGTTGAGGAATGGACTGTGGTGTATCCGACAGAGCAAGCTAAGGTTTGTCGAGAACATCAGTTCCAGTGTTTGAACGGCGAATGTATACAGGATTCGTGGGTGTGCGATGGTTCCAATGATTGTACTTCCGGCGAGGATGAGGCCCACTGTGCAGACAGTGATCAAACTTCCTGCAGAGAGGATCAGTTCACGTGTCGCATGGACGGCGCATGCATTCCTATAAGGAGTGTTTGTAACGGAGTGGAAGAGTGTCCAGACGGTAGCGACGAGTTGGGCTGTTCTGACGAGCAACATTCTAGTCCGGCAGCGACACCATCCTGTTTCTTTGGTTTGTTCCCTTGCGATGAGACACGATGCTTCCCTCTAGCTGCATACTGCGATGGCAAACAGGATTGCGTGGACGGTTTCGATGAGAGCAACTGCGAGAAAAATAGTTCACGCGTTTATCAGGTACTTGTAATGGGCGTGGACGAACGGTCGGTCAACGCTACCAGTTTGTTTTTGTACTGGTGGATGCCTGTGCCCACCAATGTCACTTTCGAGTTTCTACCTTCGATAGCGTACGCCGTACCTGGAGCTAATTGGACCAACGCCAGCAAGTGGATCGATGATATGGAGTATCAGTTTAATAATCTGAAACCGTATACTCGTTATAATATGACAGTTCACGTTAGAATAAAGGGCCAAACTACGGTGTTCCCACCAGCCAAGTATTTGATTGTTACAACGGGCGAAGGTGTCCCGTCAGAGCCTTGGAACGTGACCGTGACCCAAAGAAATGGAACGAGTGTGGAAGTCACGTGGAACCCACCTATTCATCCGAATGGACCTATCACTGGTTACGAGGCATTCGTAGCACCACCAATACCACCTATACGATTCTTCAAGCAAAAAACTTCCGCTATATTGGATATGCCATTTCAGGCAGGAAAGAATTACTCATTTTGGGTAATAGCAAAAAGCAAGGAACGAGAGTCTGCCTCGTCCAATGTAGCTACTTTAATCTTTGACGGATCTACTAATATCGACAATATCGAGGACCTCAAAGTGGAAGCACTCACCAATCATTCGGTAACTTTGTCGTGGAAGAAGATGAAAAATGTTTGTTATGTCATTACACCGAGAGCTCCAGCAAAGTATCCTGGATTACAACAGATTGTTGTGGAGGAGAATCGCGCGGAGATACAGAGATTAGCTCCAGGAACTATGTACACTTTCGAGGTCGGTGCCAAAAGGAAGAACTATGTTGGAAAGACTAAGACTATTAGTGCAACCACGGAGGGCATGCCTTTGCCGATTGTAACAAAATTAGTCCCGCAGTTAGTGAAACCGCACGGAACTTCGGTAAAACTTACTTGGGATCCGCCTAAAAGCGCCAGGAAGATTAAGTGGCAGTATGGAATTCATTATGCAGTGAATATGGTGGAATTCTTTGAATGTAATAGTCTTCGTAATGTAAATTGTAAAAATGAAACGGCCAAGAATTATTACTGATCATTAATTGAAAATTAACTTCATTTTCAGCGTATAAACTTTTAACGACGAACTTGTCAGCGACTATCAAAGATTTGGAAGCTTGTGAATCTTATGTATTCGCAGTAGGCGTGAACGGAGATTACGGTGCTGGGCCATTAAGTCAACCAGTTTCTGTCTTCACACATTTCAATCAACGGGCTCCTCCAAAGAAGCTAAAAGTCACTCCAACAGAGAGATTGGATACTATAACTATTTCTTGGAGTGCCAGCTGTCCTAACATTGACGAACCCATTAGATACACGGTGAATAAGGAATTTTTACGACATGAATTTTTGCATTGTGCCTTTTCCTCCCTTTGAATTAAAAGAATATTGTTATTTTTCAATATTAATTAGAAAATGACATAAAATTCGTTTATTCAAGAATTATTTTTAAAATTACAGATCACCGTAACAGAATCGACGCTTAAAAAACATTTCGTAGTGACTTTGCCATCAACAAACGAATCTGTTATGAAACACACGTTCAATTCGATTAAACATGGTGGCAAGTATCGAATAACAATATCTACAGATGTTGAGGATGCCATAGCAAGTCAACCGGTTCTATATATGGCACCAGAAATTCCGCCTCCTCATCAGGTGAAGGTTTTACATGAGGAACAGGGCTTTTTTGTTTATTGGGAAGAGCATGATCTACCAGATATGAAAGACGAAAAGTATCATTACGAAATTTTGGTGGTGGAGGGATCGCATATAATGAACGAGTCGATTGCGAAGGTTTATAAAATCGATCAGCCACCGTATATATACAAAGACGTGAAACCAGATGTTATGTACACGTTTGCCGTTCGTTTAGTTACAGAAGAAGGCTACCAAAGTTCTTTGAGCGAAGTTTTTAGCACCAGATATAGCGCAAGTAATTATTTGAATGAAATTTTAATCATTAATTCCAATAATAAATTATTATCAATTTCATTTTTCTGATATAAGAGAATTAATTAAAATTATAAAAATTGATTTGATTGATCTTTTTAGAAAATAATTCAAAGATGTAATAGTAATTAATAAAAAATTAATTTTTACAGAAGTATCGTCGTTACCAGTGACTATAAATACGTCCAACATTCTTTCGTTTGCGATACCAATCTGTTTGTTGATCGTCGCTTTAGGATCTGCATTGGCGTACTTTGTTGTTAGACACAGAAGATTAACCAATAGTTTTACACAATTTGCTAATAGTCACTATGATACTAGACGCGGGCAAGCAACTTTCCCGGGTACTACAGACGGCTTAGGTAAATCTATAATTTATTTAATTTCGGGATTTAATCTACTTTATTATCAATTTATTACGAAATTCTTGATAATATTTATTTTAACAAGAAGTGAAGAGTTTTTAAAATTTCCTCTTTCATGATTTCAGAGGAAGAAGACAGTCCAGTGATTCGAGGTTTTTCCGATGATGAGCCACTAGTAATAGCATAAATTCATGAAAGGTATCACACATAATAACATGATACATTCACACTACGAGGTATGATCAGAAAAATAAGTACATCACATTTTATATATACAGAATATATATTGTGTATTATATATATTATACATATATGAAATATAAATGTACGTATTTGGAGGAATGTGCCAATATGCTATTGATATGAAAAAGTTCAAGGTGAAAGACAACCTGATTATAAAAGTAGAAATCTTTTATGAAAGTGGCTCAAGACTGACATACACACAATGCATACACACATGTACACATTATACTTGTAGAAAATAAATCAAGATTGATTAGACGAGCTCTTCAGAATACTTGAAAGTTTTGCGACGACGAAACGAAAAAAAATATCACAGCACCCTGTGTTTGTATAGTGCTATTGTACGTGTACATGTTATATACATAGATTCGATTAAGTATACGGATGATTAAGTTAACGTCATACCGATGGACCGTAAGAGAAAGTTATTGTTGTTTGTTTGATATCTATGTAAAAATGGAATGAAAAGGAGCGAGAGTATGAAGTAATGAAAAAGAAGTAGAAAAAAAAGAGAAAATTTGTACATATAGTAAATATTTTGTACGAACAGCCCAACAATTTTAAGCTTTTTCGGAAGATGCCATATATAACCCTTTATTATTGCATTTGTACTATATGTAGGATAACAAGAGAAAACGTTTCATTGTTTGACAAATTATTTTTATAACTTTGCTTTATGTGTCTTTTTTTTTAAATATCATGTGGTTGTATAAAATTCGTTTTCTTAAACGCGGTATCTCATTCTCTCAGTGAGCGCGAAATACTTTGCCTCATTATACAGCAGCTGTATGTAACAAAATCAGAGGCTAGATAGCATTTAAAACACTCGGCACTGCCTCCACTGTTTTGTAATTCCTTTTTTTTTTTCTTTTTGTATATGAGCTTGTTCATATATAATGGTTGTATATATATATATGGTTGTATACGTTTAAAACATAAACGCGATGAAACGCGTTGACAATGGTAAAAGTTCCATTAGAGACAAAAAAGAAAAAAAAAACAAAAATACAAAAAAAAAAAAAAAAAAAAAAAAAAA